GACCGACCCTTTCCCGAAGCAGGCTATCAACACAACCCCCGCTTTCACGACCTACTGCTACGACCTCCAACAAATTCGTTTCCTTTCCTCTCAACTGCAAGCAGGATCCCTCCTCGCTGGCCAAATATGACCTCCTGAAAGGTTTCACAGAGCGACAGTGAAACTTCGGTACAAAGCCCACGTGTTCAGGCCCTTGGTAACTGCTCCCTAACGTTCAGCTGCAAAGTCTATCCCCGCCCCTCAGAAAACTACTGCTCGTTAGACGATTCCAATGATCTGACGAATCCAACCTTTCCCGTCCAGTGCACGATCCCCACCCACAAGGCAAGTTCCGCCCACCAGTCTGTCTAGCAACCCGGCTAGGCACCCATAAAAAGAATCGCGTTTCGTCTGAGGTCAGGGACGAAATAAACCACTGGTCATTCGTAATATTTTCCCATGTCTATTTCTCTGTCTAACTGGATGAGTCCGACACGCTCATCCCACCCACCGGACATTTCCCGCCCATGCGAACAGCATCCCAGGCACCCGAAACATACATACTTCCACATATCCCCGCAATCGAAACGTAGTGAAAAACATACCTCGTCCAGGGCAGCAAACTGTGGTTTGCTGGTTGGCTCCAAAATGACACCAATAGCCGGCTCCACAAGTGTTCATGCCAATAGAGCACGTCACTGGACGATTGTCCAAGCCCATCTGAGGCGGACCGAGCGCACACGGATTATCAAGCACTGAGTAGGACAAGCGGGTTCAATGACTTCTTGTTTATTATGTAAAGTTAAAAAGGAAATGCCCGTGACAATTGAGAACTTGTTAAAATGTTGGTGGGAGCGAATTTGAGTACTTTCATTACCAAAAAAGACTGTAGTAGATCGGAAAGTGGTTAACCACAGTACGGTATTCAACTTACCGTAACACGTTCGTTCACAATCCTGCCTACTTAGGAAGTTGTTCTGAGTGCCTTTCATGCCGCAATAGCTGAAATTCACAAGAATTGGTACAGTTATTTTGACACAATGCAAGGGTAAGGTTGGGGGTCCTCAACGGAGGAAAGCTGAACTGCTGCTGTATTACCCGCACTCCTTGGAACCTCGCCCGGCCCCATACACAGGGTGCCCGTAAGCCGCTGGACGACACATTACCCACCCTCTGGGCAATCCTACGACTGTATTTCCGTGACCGCTGGATTTCTGACTGGGTAACTTGTGTATGGGCTGTCGTGAAAAATAGAAAGTGGGACCAAATCACACTGCTGCGTTGGGGAAATTTTTAGCCCCCTTCCCGTGTGGGGGACCCAAATAACAGTCACAGTCTCGCACTCATAACTTTTTTCTCTTCTCAGGAAGTAGTATAAATAGCGTATGCTCCTTCTCTCTGTCTTAATGTTTAGTGGAAATATTAAGTTGCAGTGAGTTTATCGTGGTGTAGCAATTTGGTGGCCCACACCTTTATGGTGTATAATGAATAAATAATAAATAAATTGAATACGGCCCACTTTCCTGAGATTTCTTTTATTACGACCGCTGTTTAGACGCGTTGGCCCACGTCTCGACCAAGCTGCTTCCAGTAATGTTGGCCGTTTAAACATGTGTATTCAACAAAATGAGTGTAACAATACGGTACAGAATCTTTCTAGTAATACACCCCCCCTCCCCGTGTGCCGAAGTGTGACCTCTCTCGTTATGATTCCCACAGTGGACCCTGGTCCGCTGAAGATGAGAGTCGAATTAAAGGATAACCTACCTGAATTGAACACACATTTGCGCTTGCGCATTCCAGTACCATCGCTGCAGTTGGGCCATACCAGTTCCTCGGTCCATCGGTTGGCTGCATGGGTCACCACCTTGAATGAGTGATAAGTTCGGACTTGACATTTTGGGATACTAGCGTCTCATGTGTCGATTTCGCCTAGGATACAGGAATCAAAGACTGCCTGAATTCAACTTTTCCCCACCGAAGTTCCTTGCTACTTCAAGTTTTAGGTGGAAGGGTAGTGTTCGAGCGTGTCCGACAGAGACGAATTGTGTATCAGCTCACTCTTATTCCGACAAGAACAAGCCGCGTACACAAGCCCCCCCACGTGGGTGTGTCCTACGGACTCAAGTTGTAAGTAGCCAGGCGGGTATTGTGACTGAATAGTTGAGTAATCCCAATCACCTTGATTCTCGTGGTAACTAGCAAGCCTGAAGCAAGGCTCCTGAATAAAGCGCCAAGAAAGCTGAAGAAAGAACAGATTCGTAATCAGTTCGGGTACACAGTGACACATTATACAAAAAATTATCAGATACAGGATTAATAGCCAAATAGAAAACAGCTAGATTAATGCGTTTGGTGATGCATGAAGGCAGTGTTCACGATATTTCTTGGCAGATTCTTTCCTGTGCCGAAATTGGTGTAGTATTGCTGCAGGATCGAGTATTCGGAGCCCCAGAGATATAGAGGTAGCTGCGCACTCCAACTAAACGTGGCGGTGGCTGTGCTTTTGGTGAGATATTCTCGTTTTGACCTGGTTGTTTAATGCTGATCAGGATGACAGTTGTCGCAAACTGAAATATCTCATGAGTGACCCATTCTGTGCCATGTTCGAATGCCACGCCTACTCTGTCTCAGGGATAAGGAGTGTGCGTGGGTGCGATTTCGCAGCAAAAATCTTACTCAAATTGATTTTCTCTGTGGACGAGAGGGCGTGTTAAGGAATGGAGTGGAACCAGTCGAGGAAACCTTTTCCACCAAGTGTTGGGGACTCAGGATGGAAGCGTTGGTGAGAAAAACTGCCGCGGCTGCGCTCCAACCATCCGTTCTCTCTCGTTTGGCTGTTCTCACATAACCCCATGATTAGGAGTGGCGAAAGAGGATCGCTTGATAGGTTGACCTTTCTCAACTGAAATGAGACCTGAAGGTGACCTGGCAGATGCTATACTGGATCTCTAGAGATGGGAACGTATATTGGATGTTAGAAGGGGTGGGGGTCGGTTTCGAAAGGTTTCACCGTGGCAATGATTCACCCACAGTGAAATAACAGTGAATAGAAGCACAAGGAATGCCCAGGAAAACCGCTGATCTTCAATTACATCCGTTACTACTGAGTCGGGGCGTGGCAGCGGCACGCGAGCTTTGACGCAGCGCGAAATCCCTTCCCAACACTTACTGCACGCTCAAAGGAGTCCCATTCCTACCACTGAATCAGTCGCAACCCATGGAAAATGAACTAGCGCCGCATCAACACATTTTCCCGCTGACTTCGGTCATGACGACTGTATCTAAACTATGACCTATCGAGTAACCGTACCCTTTATCCTTTGACTGGCCTTTGTGAAAAGCGACAGTGAATCCATGACAATGTGAAATCGATATTATCGTGAACACTATCTTCGAACGAAACTGGTTAAGCACAAGAATTAAGCAAAGGCGCACGGCAAGCA